GGCAGATTGCCACCTGACTGACTGACATATCTAAGCGCTTGTTTACCAGTTGTGCACTCGTTCTCCGAGACTCAGTTTTGTTTGTTTGGGGGGGATGTCTGTAGACATGGCAGGAGTTGCGGTTTTAAAATGGCCTTTTGTCCAGCACCTCGCCAACACACTGTCAGCAGGCTGTCGTAGCCGGCCGCGACCGGGAGCCTCGTGGGGGATGGCTGGCAGGGAGGTAGCTCAGTTGGTAGAGCATGGCGTTTACAACGCCAGGGTTGTGGGTCTCTATACTAGTTGCCAATTGAGCCTACTGTGAGCTGAGGTAGTTCGTTTCACATCGCCCTCAGCCTCATCGCCCTCAGCCTCATCGCCCTCAGCCTCATCGCCCTCAGCCTCATCGCCCTCAGCCTCATCGCCCTCAGCCTCATCGCCCTCAGCCTCAGTCCAGGGGACGCAGGCAAACATAACTGTTCATGATTCCACTTTTTTCGCAAAGAGGCAGGAAGAGAACTCTGTCAGATCAAGAATACAAGTGTTCTGAACTTTGATCAATGCTGGGAGCAATATTTAGATGTTGACCAGTCATTTATATTTCTTTGTTGTACAATACACACTACCAGTCAAAAGTTTGGACACACCTACTCATTCAAGGGTTTTTCTTTATTTTCACTATTTTCTACATTGTAGAATAATAGTGAAGACATCAAAACTATGAAATAACACATATGGAATCATGTAGTAACCAAAAAAGTGTGAAACAAATCAAAATATATTTTATTTTTGAGATTCTTCAAATAGCCACCCTTTGCCTTGATAACAGCTTTGCACACTCTTGGCATTCTCTCAACCAGCTTCACCTGGAATGCTTTTCCAACAGTCTTGAAGGAGTTCCCACATATGCTGAGCACTTGTTTGCTGCTTTTCCTTCACTCTGCGGTCCAACTCATCCCAAACCATCTCAATTGGGTTGAGGTCAGGTGATTGTGGAGGCCAGGTCATCTGATGAAGCACTCCATCACTCTCCTTGGTCAAATAGCCCTTACACAGCCTGGAGGTGTGTTTTGGGTCATTGTCCTGTTGAAAAACAAATGATAGTCCCACTAAGAGCAAACCAGATGGGATGGCATATCGCTGCAGAATGCTGTCGGAGCCATGCTGGTTAAGTGTGCCTTGAATTCTAAATAAATCACCTCCTCCTCCATGCTTCACGGTGGGAACCACACATGCGGAGATCGTCCGTTCACCTACTCTGCGTCTCACAAAGACACGGCAGTTGGAACCAAAAATCTCAAATTTGGACTCATCAGACCAAAGGACAGATTTCCACCGGTCTAATGTCCATTGCTCGTGGTTCTTGGCCCAAGCAGGTCTCTTCTTATTATTGGTGTCCTTTAGTAGTGGTTTCTTTGCAGCAATTCGACCATGAAGGCCTGATTCATGCAGTCTCCTCTGAACAGTTGATGTTGAGATGTGTCTATGACCTGAACTCTGTGAAGCATTTATTTGGGCTACAATTTCTGAGGCTGGTAACTCTAATGAACTTATCCTCTGCAGCAGAGGTAACTCTGGGTCTTCCATTCCTGTGGCGGTCCTCATGAGAGCCAGTTTCATCATAGCGCTTGATGGTTTTTGCAACTGCACTTGAAGACACTTTAAAAGTTCTTGAAATGTTCCGTATTGACTGACCTTCATGTCTTAAAGTAATGATGGACTGTCGTTTCTCTTTGCTTATTTGAGCTGTTCTTGCCATAATATGGACTTGGTCTTTTACCAAATAGGGCTTTCTTCTGTATACCCCCCCTTCCTTGTCACAACACAACTGATTGGCTCAAATGCATTAAGAAATAAAGAAATTCCACAAATTAACTTTTAAGAAGGCACACCTGTTATTTGAAATGCATTCCAGGTGACTACCCCATGAAGCTGGTTGAGAGAATGCCAAGAGTGTGCAAAGCTGTCATCAAGGCAAAGGGTGGCTATTTGAAGAATCTTAAATATAAAATATATTTTGATTTGTTTAACACTTGTTTGGTTACTACATGATTCCATATGTGTTATTTCATAGTTTTGATGTCTTCACTATTATTCTACAATGTAGAAAATAGTCCAATTAAAGAAAAACCCTTGAATGAGCAGGTGTGTCCAAACTTTTGACTGGTACTGTGTATATTTTTTATAATTATTATTTTTGGCTCTGAATGCATTGCTCTGATTGCACTGTCATGCTGTCAAAGCTACAACCGCTTTTGGCACCAACTAGTCTCAAATCTTTCGAATCATATCCTGATGTTGAAAGCAGATGGTAGTTGTATTAATAACATGGTTAACTTAGGTAGCTAAAGGCAAAGGAAACGCACGCCTGTTTAGGAGAGGTGCTGGCTGACGGAGTAGAACACCTGTTTAGGAGAGGTGCTGGCTAGCGGAGTAGAACACCTGTTTAGGAGAGGTGCTGGCTGACGGAGTAGAACACCTGTTTAGGAGAGGTGCTGGCTGACGGAGTAGAACACCTGTTTAGGAGAGGTGCTGGCTGACGGAGTAGAACACCTGTTTAGGAGAGGTGCTGGCTGACGGAGTAGAACACCTGTTTAGGAGAGGTGCTGGCTGACGGAGTAGAACACCTGTTTAGGAGAGGTGCTGGCTGACGGAGTAGAACACCTGTTTAGGAGAGGTGCTGGCTGACGGAGTAGAACACCTGTTTAGGAGAGGTGCTGGCTGACGGAGTAGAACACCTGTTTAGGAGAGGTGCTGGCTGACGGAGTAGAACACCTGTTTAGGAGAGGTGCTGGCTGACGGAGTAGAACACCTGTTTAGGAGAGGTGCTGGCTGACGGAGTAGAACACCTGTTTAGGAGAGGTGCTGGCTGACGGAGTAGAACACCTATTTAGACGAGGTGCTGGCTAGCAGAGTAGAACACCTGTTTAGGAGAGGTGCTGGCCAGCAGAGTAGAACACCTGTTTAGGAGAGGTGCTGGCTAGCAGAGTAGAACACCTGTTAAGGAGAGGTGCTGGCCAGCAGAGTAGAACACCTGTTTAGGAGAGGTGCTGGCTAGCAGAGTAGAACACCTGTTTAGGAGAGGTGCTGGCTGACGGAGTAGAACACCTGTTTAGGAGAGGTGCTGGCTAGCAGAGTAGAACACCTGTTTAGGAGAGGTGCTGGCTGACGGAGTAGAACACCTGTTTAGGAGAGGTGCTGGCTGACGGAGTAGAACACCTGTTTAGGAGAGGTGCTGGTTAGCGGAGTAGAACACCTGTTTAGGAGAGGTGCTGGCTGACGGAGTAGAACACCTGTTTAGGAGAGGTGCTGGCTAGCAGAGTAGAACACCTGTTTAGGAGAGGTGCTGGCTAGCAGAGTAGAACACCTGTTTAGGGGAGGTGCTGGCTAGCAGAGTAGAACACCTGTTTAGGAGAGGTGCTGGCTGACGGAGTAGAACACCTGTTTAGGAGAGGTGCTGGCTGACGGAGTAGAACACCTGTTTAGGAGAGGTGCTGGCTAGCAGAGTAGAACACCTGTTTAGGAGAGGTGCTGGCTGACGGAGTAGAACACCTGTTTAGGAGAGGTGCTGGCTGACGGAGTAGAACACTTGAAGAAGAAAAGGAGAGCCTCACACTCTAGGAGCTCAGATGCAATAATGTAATATCCTAATAACCAACGTTTCGACAGACAAGCTGTCTTCATCAGGGTATAATGACAAACACTGAGGGTCACTGGTTTATATAGTGTCAAAGGACACACACAGGTGTCTGTAATCATGGCCGGGTGTGGCCTAATATCATTGGCCAATTCACAGATAAAAACAACATGCAAAAAACATGGATAGCATACGATCATAGATACTTGGCTACATAGGCCCACAAACATTTACAATGAATAGCAAAATCACAAGAATGGCTTCAGATCAAAGTCTACGTTGAGACCGAAGGGAGCGAGGTTCTTTAAATTAAAGATCCAGGCAGCCTCTCGTTTTAACAATAAGTTGTCGAGGTCACCCCCTCTCCTAGGGGGGTGACCTCGAGTTGTCGAGTTGTCGAGGTCACCCCCTCTCCACCCCCCTCTCCTAGGGAGGGTGACCTGTTCGATGCCGATATAACGTAGGGAAGAAATCGAGTGGTTCGCTTCCAAAAAAGTGGGCAGCGACTGGGTATGTCGAGTTTTTGCACCTAATGGGTGCTACGATGCTCCGAGATTCGTACTTTTAATTCGCGCTTTGTTTTACCCACATAATTTTTACCGCAAGGACAAGTTATAAGGTAAATAACTGCCATAGTGGAGCACGTAATAACACCTTTGATTGGGATCTGTTTCCCTGTTTGGGGGTGTTTGAAGGATCTACATTTGTAAGTGCCATTGCACTTATGTAGCTAACATTTTTTTTATTTTTTTTTATTTCACCTTTATTTAACCAGGTAAACCAGTTGAGAACAAGTTCTCATTTACAACTGCGACCTGGCCATACATTTAGAGAAACAAGTTACATTAAGTGACTAGCTAGCTAGCGTTAGCAACAGTTGGTGGTCAATGAGACAGCGCTAGCTAACCAGCAGAGCTAGCAAACAATGTAACAAAAGTATAATTTCGGATTCGATAGATACTCCATCAACAGGCTGTGAATTTCAGGAATCACAGTAGCAAGTACCCCTGGTGCACTGTTATTTAGCTGTTTAAACAATTTGGCTACTTTTGATGAAAACTCTCAGTTTTGCCATAGCTCTCACTGGCTTTCATGCATTTGAAACATAAGCTTGTCCGAGGTGTCGGACTCAACGACACTTGATGTCAATTGGAGCACAGCGATTGGTTCCCCAATATTCTGGGGCTGGGCTTAGCGAATGGTCAATTATAAATCAGCCTTTGAACTCTTTGTAGCTCAGTGAGTCCCACAATGCTGACTCTAAGATGTACCACTATAATCAGGTAACTCAAAACGCATCTCATGTTGATTGACTTGTGATCCTGTTTATCTGCAGAGGATCTGTAGTTGTTAATGTTCTTGATTATTTCAGCCTGAGAATATCATGCTGTTGGACAAGAATGTTGATCTACCACGGATCAAGATCATCGATTTTGGTCTGGCACATAAGATGGATCAGGTCGGGACGGACTTTAAAAACATCTTTGGGACACCTGAATTTGTCGGTAAGTATTTCAAGGCATTGAAGAGGACTCCATGTTTATGTATACCAGAGACTGTGTAGAGTTGTGTCATTGTGTAGAGTTGTGTCATTGTGTGGAGTTGTGTCATTGTGTGGAGTTGTGTCATTGTGTAGAGTTGTGTCATTGTGTGGAGTTGTGTCATTGTGTAGAGTTGTGTCATTGTGTGGAGTTGTGTCATTGTGTAGAGTTGTGTCATTGTGTGGAGTTGTGTCATTGTGTAGAGTTGTGTCATTGTGTGGAGTTGTGTCATTGTGTGGAGTTGTGTCATTGTGTAGAGTTGTGTCATTGTGTAGAGTTGTGTCATTGTGTGGAGTTGTGTCATTGTGTGGAGTTGTGTCATTGTGTAGAGTTGTGTCATTGTGTGGAGTTGTGTCATTGTGTAGAGTTGTGTCATTGTGTAGAGTTGTGTCATTGTGTGGAGTTGTGTTATTGTGTAGAGTTGTGTCATTGTGTAGAGTTGTGTCATTGTGTAGAGTTGTGTCATTGTGTGGAGTTGTGTCATTGTGTAGAGTTGTTTCATTGTGTGGAGTTGTGTCATTGTGTAGAGTTGTGTTATTGTGTAGAGTTGTGTCATTGTGTAGAGTTGTTTCATTGTGTGGAGTTGTGTCATTGTGTGGAGTTGTGTTATTGTGTAGAGTTGTGTCATTGTGTGGAGTTGTGTCATTGTGTGGAGTTGTGTCATTGTGTAGAGTTGTGTCATTGTGTGGAGTTGTGTCATTGTGTGGAGTTGTGTCATTGTGTAGAGTTGTGTTTTATGATTATACGTATGTGTTTCCAGCTCCAGAGATAGTCAACTATGAGCCTCTGGGTTTAGAAGCAGACATGTGGTAAGAGTTGATAACTACCTCACACTCATTGGTTTACTTTATACAACAAGCTTTCACAGATACACACACAGATAAACACAGATACACACAGATAAACACAGATACACACACAGATAAACACAGATACACACACAGATAAACACAGATACACACACAGATAAACACAGATACACACACAGATAAACACAGATACACACACAGATAAACACAGATACACACACAGATAAACACAGATACACACACAGATAAACACAGATACACACACAGATAAACACAGATAAACACAGATACACACACAGATAAACACAGATAAACACAGATACACACACAGATACACACACAGATAAACACAGATAAACACAGATAAACACAGATAAACACAGATAAACACAGATAAACACAGATAAACACAGATAAACACAGATAAACACAGATACACACACAGATAAACACAGATACACCAACCTCACTACAGTTACAGCAGACAGGAGTGAGGCGTCTCAGCAGATGAACCTTGTGTTCTCTTCTTCTCACAGGAGCATTGGAGTCATCACCTACATCCTGTAAGTACAAACGGGAATTCTGTCAGTTATGTAAAAACTGTTGATGTGAAAACCTCTTTAGAAATAGATGTCATTGCTTGATTGATTGATTAATTGATTGATATGACAGTATAACTAATGACTGTGTGTGTGTTTTCAGTTTGAGTGGAGCATCACCGTTCCTTGGTGACTCAAAGCAGGAGACTCTAGGGAACGTCTCAGCCATAGCCTACCAGTTCGATGAGGAGTTGTTCAGCAGTACCAGTGAGCTGGCCAAAAGCTTTATACGACAACTACTGGAGAAAGACACCAGGTCAGGGGTTAGAGTCAGTTCTCACCTGGAGGTCAAAGGTCAGATGAGAAAAAAATACCAGTATGTAGAGTTCTGATCAGAGCAGCTGCAGAGGAGAGACCTTGACACTGTGTATGTGTTCGTATCAGTGCTGAGCGATTAATAAAAACGTTGGTTATTTTTCAGTTTTTAAACAACTAATTGACCGACTTTGGTTAAATTATTTGAATTCCATTTTCTTCAGGGGTTTTCTGTGAGCTCAATGCGCACATTGTGCAGTTTATCTAGAGATAAATCAGATCCAGCCCGAACTGTGCGATGTAGTATGGAGATGTAGTTTCCAACAGGCCAATATTCTACATAGTTCAGTGCAGAAAATGTGGTAATGAACTACAATCACATCGTTCCATTGCACGCCTCCTTGTTCGGTCTCTGTGTTTCTTTAGGCCTGCTCCGTTAGAGAGTGGGGCAGACACTGAGAGAAGAGACAGGAGAATGTGTGATGGAGAGGGACAGAGGGCAGCTGCTTCACCAGGTATCTCTACCTGAAAATACATGATCTAAGTGATTGATATTTGGTATTCAGCAGTCATAAAAGTCTGCCTCTTTATTTAGTCAGACAGCACAGGCAGCTGCTCTATAGAGATGAGATGATGACTTGGAATGAAATAATAAAGTCATCAAATAAAACTAATATTTTATTAAAGTAAAGTAATGTGAATAACTGATGTTTAATAAGTGATAAGCAGTAATGGACAGTCACTACCATCACGGGACTTTTACTAATTGTTTTATTCAGTGTTACAACGTTCAAACCCACATAATGCATAGTGCATTTAAAGTTTAACAAAATAATCTAAACAGAAATCAAAAACCGAGCTAATTTTTTTCATAATCAAACCGAACCGACCTCAAAAAGCACTAATGGCTCAGCGCTAGTCTGTGTTAATTAACTACCCACCAGGATTCATCTTTCTCTGGTAGTTGATTAGTCACTGGATTTGTTTCCTTGAGGGACAGAGAGACAACATCCAGATGGGAAGGAACCCACAGTACATGCATGCCACAGAGGTTGTCAGTGCCGAGGCAGGATGGTACTTGTTCACTTGCCTCCCATCTGTTTTCATAGAGCGACAACATTTCTTTGTGTGTCTGTGTGTGTGTGTGTGTGTGTGTGTGTGTGTGTGTCTGTGTGTGCGTGTGTCTGTGTGTGTGTGTGTGTGTCTGTGTGTGTGTGTGTGTGTGTGTGTGCGTGTGCGTGTGTGTGTGTGCGTGTGTGTGTCTGTGTGTGTGTGTGTGTGTGTGTGTGTATGTGTGCGTGCCCTCGCTAAGCTAACAAACCTTTACTGTTGTTCTGTGCCTTTCAGAAAACGGTTGACAATCCAAGGTGCTCTGAATCATCCCTGGATACAGGTAACCATATGGATTATTATATTACGTTATATTGCAGTTTGTAGAAGATCTAACCAGTTTACTGTGTGGAAATGAAATAGCACTTTATCCTGAAATGCTTTGTCACAGTGTCATATGAATGTGTGTGTTAAAATTGTCATCATTAATTAAACAGCTATCAACCAATCAGATACAGTGAACAAGTGTAACTCAACAACATAATAATAATAATGACATGTTACTATGGTACCACTCAGAGTTGGAACAACACGTTACTATGGTACCACTCAGAGTTGGAACAACACGTTACTATGGTACCACTCAGAGTTGGAACAACACGTTACTATGGTACCACTCAGAGTTGGAACAACACGTTACTATGGTACCACTCAGAGTTGGAACAACACGTTACCATGGTACCACTCAGAGTTGGAACAACACGTTACCATGGTACCACTCAGAGTTGGAACAACACGTGTTACAGATCTGCTGCAGTTGAGGATAAGAGCTGGGATTTCCGGCATGACGTCTGTGGGGTAGTCCGGTGAAGGTGATCCTGTTTGGCATTCCCTTTCTTTACAAAAAAATATGCCTCTTAAATAGGAAACAACTTGACTCTAAAGTCAAGACATTGCTGAAACGTTACGTTGGCAATTGCATGTGATGGCAAATACTAGATCAAGAGCCAAACAAACACAGCGAAACAATGTGACCATGGACCAAGTAGCTGCCGACTCAACTGAAGCGAGTTTACAGACACTACTAATAGACATTTACACTGGCAATGAGAAACTGGCTAAGCAGATTAAGAAAAGATGTCAAAAAAATCTAAACTGATATGACTGAACTGGGCAAACATGTGGAGGAGGCTGAAACCGGGTTAACCCTGGAGAAAATCACACCAGAAAAGCACCAGAAAACCGTGGCTGAACAAATATACATAATTACAGGGATTACTGAAAGATTAAACAGGATGAAGGACTTCAGTCGCCTTTCAAATCTTTGTTTGGTAAATTTCCCCGAAAGCTGTGTAACTCACCTCTGTCATCATGAAGTGCTTTGAGAGACTAGTCAAGGATCATATCACCTCTACCTTACCTGTCACCCTAGACCCACTTCAATTTGCTTACTGCCCCAATAGATTCACAGACGATGCAATCGCCATCACACTGCACACTGCCCTATCCCATCTGGACAAGAGGAATACCTATGTAAGAATGCTGTTCATTGACTACAGCTCAGCATTCAACACCATAGTACCCTCCAAGCTCATCATTAAGCTCGAGGCCCTGGGTCTGAACCCCGACCTGTGCAACTGGGTCCTGGACTTCCTGACGGGCCGCCCCCAGGTGGTGAATGTAGGAAACAACACCTCCACTTCGCTGATCTTCAACACAGGGGCCCCACAAGGGTGTGTGCTCAGCCCCCTCCTGTACTCCCTGTTCACCCATGACTGCATAGCCATGCACGCCTCCAACTCAATCATCAAGTTTGCAGACGACACAACAGTAGTAGGCCTGATTACCAACAATGATGAGACAGCCTACAGGGAGGAGGTGAGGGCTCTGGGAGTGAGGTGCCAGGAAAATAACCTCTCAACGTCAAAAAAACAAAGGAGATGATTGTGGACTTCAGGAAACAGCAGAGTGTGCACCCCCCTATCCACATCAACGGGACCGCAGTGGAGAAGGTGGAAAGCTTCAAGTTCCTTGGCGTACACATCACCGACAAACTGAAATGGTCCACCCACGCAGACAGTGTGGTGAAGAAGGTGCAACAGAGCCTCTTCAACCTCAGGAGGCTGAAGAAATTTGGCTTGGCACCTAAAACCCTCAAACTTTTACAGATGCACAATTGAGAGCATCCTGTCGGGCTGTATCACCGCCTGGTACAGCAACTGCATCACCCACAACCGCAGGGCTCTCCAGAGGTTGGTGCGGTCTGCCGAATGCATTATCGGGGGCAAACTACCCGCCCTCCAAGACACATACAGCACCCGATGATGGCCGGCAGGGATGTAGCTCAGTTGGTAGAGTATGGCGTTTGCAACGCCAGGGTTCTGGGTTTGATTCCCACGGGGGGCCAGTATTTAAAAAAATAATGTATGCACTCACTAACTGTAAGTCGCTCTGGATAAGAGCGTCTGCTAAATGACTAAAATGTAAATGTAAGAGTTGAAACGGCACATGTTACAGATATACTGTCATTGATGTTAAGAGCACCATGTCTCAGGAGGAAATCACATCTGACCAGTGCAACTCTTAGAATTTTTTTTTTTATATCTAGAACCCAAAAGGGTTCTTTGGCTGTCCCCATGGAAGAACCCTTTCAAGAACCCTTTCGGGTTTCATGTAGAACCTTTTCCACAGAGGGTTCTACCTGGAACTCAAAAGGGTTTTCACATGGGGACAGCCGGAGAAACCTTTTGGTCCGGTCCCCTTTTTTCTAAGAGTGTAAACTCTTGGACAGTCGTCTGTTGGCCCACATGGTTTCCATCTATAGCACCACCTGGCAGCCTAATCACAGGTCCACATCAAGATGGAACAGGACTTCATTAACGTTTTGGAAAGCTTGTATCTTGACACATGAGGATGATTCCACTGTGAGCTCTGTTACTGGTTGATAACCTGCATGTGAGATTGTTGCTGTGGAGACCACCCACCCACCTGTTTACCTGGCTGGCTGTGATGTGAGAGTGTTGCTGTGGAGACCACCCACCCACCTGGTTACCTGGCTGGCTGTGATGTGAGAGTGTTGCTGTGGAGACCACCCACCCACCTGTTTACCTGGCTGGCTGTGATGTGAGAGTGTTGCTGTGGAGACCACCCACCCACCTGGTTACCTGGCTGGCTGTGATGTGAGAGTGTTGCTGTGGAGACCACCCACCCACCTGTTTACCTGGCTGGCTGTGATGTGAGAGTGTTGCTGTGGAGACCACCCACCCACCTGGTTACCTGGCTGGCTGTGATGTGAGAGTGTTGCTGTGGAGACCACCCACCCACCTGTTTACCTGGCTGGCTGTGATGTGAGAGTGTTGCTGTGGAGACCACCCACCCACCTGGTTACCTGGCTGGCTGTGATGTGAGAGTGTTGCTGTGGAGACCACCCACCCACCTGGTTACCTGGCTGGCTGTGATGTGAGAGTGTTGCTGTGGAGACCACCCACCCACCTGTTTACCTGGCTGGCTGTGATGTGAGATTGTTGCTGTGGAGACCACCCACCCACCTGGTTACCTGGCTGGCTGTGATGTGAGATTGTTGCTGTGGAGACCTTGTCCTTTTTGGAGAGATGACACACCGTGAAAATGGAACAGGTCTCTCTCTTTAGACTGTAGCTCAGTGAGCTGTGAATAAAGGAAGAAGAGGGGGAGGAACTCACTGACTCACATCCCTTCTGATCTGAATGCAGTTTGGAGTGTTGTTGGTACCACCCACCCACCTGGCTACCTGGCTGGCTATAGTAAAACTCATTTTAAAAAACATAGGATTTTTCACACAGTGTGCCTTTCCTTCGCTGGGCGGTCCGTTTGGGAACATTTTTCGGTGGCTAAACACAGCCAGAGATGCAGGTGTAATTTGGTTAGCTAGCAAGAACTTGAACGACTGTTATCCAGTTAGCATATCTCTTGCATTCACAAATTCACTCTGGCTTTCTACTCCAATTTCAGAGCACTCTCGTCTGAGTGTACCAGAGCGCAGAACAACTGATTCATTTAGGAACGCGCAACACCCGTTGAATATGACCGGTGTCAGTAAACGTTGGCAAAAAAAGTAATAGTTAGTCAAGAACGCTCTAGATAACATGTAAACCGCCTAACCAGCTCTGCTAGGTCGAGTAAAATGGTCAGAGTGAGCTGTTCTCTCATTTGTGTCTGGAAGTAGATAGCTAGCAAGCTAGCCAACTCTAGCCAGTTAGCTTTGGGTGCTTAGTTGGGACCAGCATGCATTGGCAGGCAAGCTGCAGAAGGACGAGGAGGCTACAATTCCCCATCGTTTATCAGTGCAATTTTGACGGCCTACTAGCTGGAAAGGTTTGAGAGGGTTTATCTAATGTTCCTTCGTTAGATTTTAGCTCATCTTGCTCTGGCTAGCATTAGTTGTTGATCTTGTTGTTGTTGATGTGCATAACAGAGAGAGAGAGAGAGAGCCTACCTTGTCATGGTTGTCTGATCAATAGGACTGTGAAGTTCCATTTACATTTACATTTTAGTCATTTAGCAGACGCTCTTATCCAGAGCGACTTACAGGAGTAATTAGGGTTAAGTGCCTTGCTCAAGGGCACATTTACGTCATTTAGCAGACGCTCTAGTCCAGAGCGACTCACAAATTGATGCATTCACCCTATAGCCAGTGGGATAACCACTTTACAATTTTTTTTGGGGGGGGGGTAGAAGGATTACTTTATCCTATCCCAGGTATTCCTTAAAGAGGTGGGGTTTCAAATGTCTCCGGAAGGTGGTGAGCGACTCCGCTGTGTGTGTGTGGGGGGGGGGGGGGGGGGGGGGGGGTAGAAGGATTACTTTATCCTATCCCAGGTATTCCTTAAAGAGGTGGGGTTTCAAATGTCTCCGGAAGGTGGTGAGTGACTCCGCTGTCCTGGCGTCGTGAAGGAGCTTGTTCCACCATTGGGGTGCCAGAGCAGCGAACAGTTTTGACTGGGCTGAGCGGGAACTATGCTTCCGCAGAGGAAGGGGAGCCAGCAGGCCAGAGGTGGATGAACGCAATGCCCTCGTTTGGGTGTAGGGACTGATCAGAGCCCGAAGGTACAGAGGTGCCGTTCCCCTCGCTGCTCCAAAGGCAAGCACCATGGTCTTGTAACGGATGCGAGCTTCAACTGGAAGCCAGTGGAGTGTGCGGAGGAGGGGGGGTGACGTGAGAGAACTTGGGAAGGTTGAACACCAGATGGGCTGCGGCATTCTGGATGAGTTGTAGGGGTTTAATGGCACATGCAGGGAGGCCAGCCAACAGCGAGTTGCAGTAATCCAGACGGGAGATGACAAGTGCCTGGATTAGGACCTGTGCCGCTTCCTGTGTGAGGCAGGGTCGTACTCTCCGAATGTTGTAGAGCATGAACCTGCAGGAGCGGGTCACCGCCTTGATGTTAGCGGAGAACGACAGGGTGTTGTCCAGGGTCACGCCAAGGCTCTTCGCACTCTGGGAGGAGGACACAACGGAGTTGTCAACCGTGATGGCGAGATCATGGAACGGGCAGTCCTTCCCCGGGAGGAAGAGCAGCTCCGTCTTGCCAGGGTTCAGCTTGAGGTGGTGATCCGTCATCCATACTGATATGTCTGCCAGACATGCAGAGATGCGATTCGCCACCTGGTTATCAGAAGGGGGAAAGGAGAAGATTAGTTGTGTATCGTCAGCGTAGCAATGATAGGAGAGGCCGTGTGAGGATATGACAGAGCCAAGTGACTTGGTGTATAGGGAGAAAAGGAGAGGGCCTAGAACTGAGCCCTGGGGGACACCAGTGGTGAGAGCACGTGGTGCGGAGACAGCTTCTCGCCACGCCACTTGGTAGGAGCGACCGGTCAGGTAGGACGCAATCCAGGAGTGAGCCGCGCCGGAGATGCCCAGCTCGGAGAGGGTGGAGAGGAGGATCTGATGGTTCACAGTATCAAAGGCAGCAGACAGGTCTAGAAGGACAAGAGCAGAGGAGAGAGAGTTAGCTTTAGCAGTGCGGAGAGCCTCCGTGACACAGAGAAGAGCAGTCTCAGTTGAATGACCAGTCCTGAAACCTGATTGGTTTGGATCAAGAAGGTCATTCTGAGAGAGATAGCAAGAGAGTTGGCTAAAGACGGCACGCTCAATAGTTTTGGAAAGAAAAGAAAGAAGGGATACTGGTCTGTAGTTGTTGACATCAGTAGGGTCGAGTGTTGGTTTTTTGAGAAGGGGAGCAACTCTCGCTCTCTTGAAGACGGAAGGGACATGGCCAGCGGTCAAGGATGAGTTGATCAGCGAGGTGAGGTAGGGGAGAAGGTCACCGGAGATGGTCTGGAGAAGAGAGGAGGGGATGGGGGTCAAGCGGGCAGGTTGTTGGGCGGCCTGCAGTCACAAGTCGCAGGATTTTATCTGGAGAGAGAGGGGAGAAAGAAGTCAAAGCATAGGGTAGGGCAGTGTGAGCAGGACCAGCAGTGTCATTAGACTTAACAAACGAGGATCGGATGTCGTCAACCTTCTTTTCAAAGTGGTTGACGAAGTCATCCACAGAGAGAGAGGAGGGGGGGGGGGGGGGGGGGGGGGGGGGATTCAGGAGGGAGGAAAATGTGGCAAAGAGCTTCCTAGGGTTAGAGGCAGATGCTTGGAATTTAGAGTGGTAGAAGGTGGCCTTAGCAGCAGAAACAGATGAAGAAAATGTAGAGAGGAGGGAGTGAAAAGATGCCAGGTCGGCAGGGAGTTTAGTTTTCTTCCATTTCCGCTCCGCTGCCCGGAGCTCTGTTCTGTGAGCTCGCAATGAGTCATCAAGCCACGGAGCTGGAGGGGAGGACCGAGCCGGCCGGGAGGATAGGGGACACAGAGAGTCAAAGGATGCAGAAAGGGAGGAGAGGAGGGTTGAGGAGGCAGAATCAGGAGATTGGAGGGAGAAGGATTGAGCAGAGGGAATAGATAATAGGATGGAAGAGGAGAGAGTAGTGGGAGAGAGAGAGCGAAGGTTGCGGCGGCGCATTACCATCTGTGTAGGGGCAGAGTGAGTAGTGTGGGAGGAGAGCGAGAGAGAAAAGGAAACAAAGTAGTGGTCGGAGACATGGAGGGGAGTTGCAGTGAGATTAGTAGAGGAGCAGCATCTAGTGAAGATGAGGTCAAGCGTATTGCCTGCCTTGTGAGTAGGGGGGGGACGGTGAGAGGGTGAGGTCAAAAGAGGAGAGGAGTGGAAAGAAGGAGGCAGAGAGAAATGAGTCAAATGTGGACATAGGGAGGTTGAAATCCCCCAAAACTGTGAGGGGTGAGCCATCCTCAGGAAAGGAACTTATCAAGGCGTCAAGCTCATTGATGAACTCTCCAAGGGAACCTGGAGGGCGATAGATGACAAGGATATTAAGCTTAAATGGGCTAGTGACTGTGACAGCATGGAATTCAAATGAGGAGATAGACAGATGGGTTAGGGGAACAATTGAGAATGTCCACTTGGGAGAGATGAGGATTCCTGTACCACCACCCCTCTGACCAGATGCTCTCGGGGTATGCGAGAACACATGGTCAGACGAGGAGAGAGCAGTAGGAGTAGCAGTGTTTTCAGTGGTAATCCATGTTTCCGTCAGCGCCAGGAAGTCGAGGGACTGGAGGTTGGCATAGGCTGGGATGAAGTCAGCTTTGTTGGCAGCAGAACGGCAGTTCCAGAGGCTGCCTGAGACCTGGAACTCCAGGTGTGGGGTGCGTGCAGGGACCACCAGGTTAGAGAGGCAGCAGCCACGCGGTGTGGGGCGTTTGTGTAGCCTGTGCAGAGAGGAGAGAACAGGGATAGGCAGAGGCATAGTTGACAGGCTGTAGCAAATGGCTACAAAAATGCAGAGGAGATCGGAATGAAATGAGCTAAGCATCTGGGAGAGGAGAGAGCAGGGCCTCCCTCACCAAAAACTTCTACCTCAGAAACTAAAATTGTTTCACTGAACCACCCGAACAAAAACTCTCCCAACTTCCACCTTTAGAAATTAGAATTGTTGTGAACCACAGCGGTTCAATGTTTAAAGGAATAGACTCAACCCACTTTATTCAGCTAGCTAACTATGACACCATAGCTAACTAGCATGATAGCATCCAATAACAATAACACACCGTTTAGCACCAACACTTGGTCACAACAAACCGCTCCCAAATGTAAGAGGACTCCCGTGATGTTTACATATTTGCAGAAATCCATTCAGGTGTATTTTGTGGCTTTTGATGAACGCGTTCTAATGATCTAAAGTCGCGCTGTTGCTACTGCCTGTAAACACACAGTCCAGTTCAAAGTGAATGATGGCAGGCTCCTGTGGCAAATGGCTTGTTTGTATAAAGGCCTACTGTAGCTCTGATTGGCTGTAGTGCACCAGTCTGTGTAGACTCCGGTCCTGGACCACTCACCAGATGATGATCATTTGAAACGTAACTTCTTGTTAAAAGTTATTCTTGTAAAGGGAGAAGCTGACAAATTAACAACAACGTCCTCTTTGATAACACCTGCTGCAGCCGCTGCAAACTAGCCGACAACCAAAGCTAGCTAGCTAGACCGCGGGAAAACTACTGCTGTCTGTTGGCCTTCAAAAAGGTAGAAAATTCCATACATTTTTGTAAATGTATGTATAAAAAAACCTCTTTAAGGAACACCTGGGATAGGATAAAGTAATCCTTCCACCCCCCACCCCCCACCCCCCCCCCAAAAAAAAAAAATATATATATATATATATATATATATATATATATATATATATATATATATATATATATATAATTGTAAAGTGGTTATCCCACTGGCTATAGGGTGAATGCACCAATTTGTAGTCGCTCTGGATAAGAGCGTCTGCTAAATGACGTAAATGTGCCCTTGAGCAAGGCACTTAACCCTAATTGCTCCTGTAAGTTGCTCTGGATAAGAGCGTCTGCTAAATGACTAAAATGTAATGTAAATGTAAAAACGGTCCCACTCATTAAGTCAAAATGTGATTGGTTGATTCCACTGTTACTCCAAAATGTTGCCCTAATACAATGTCTGACTCAGCTAGATTTATCTCCCCAGAGACCAGCGATGAAAAATCCTGATTGGATCTTTTTTTCTCTTCAGTGTTAACCCTTTCCTTTCCAACAAAAACGGAAGAGATTAAATCAGAACATAATTGAAAATATTATCATTATTATAATATTATTATAATCATTATTTTATACATCCTTAGCCCTTCTCTGAAGGCGTAGAAGGCCCATTCTCCCCCACTGTGTTTGGCTTAGCAATTATTTGTAGAATGGCTATTTTTTTCAATCAGCATGCATTTTTTCACTTCTTGTTTTTCACTCTTCTTGTTTTTCACTCTTCTTGTTTTTCACTTTGTTGTTGTGAAATATGAACACAAAAAATACTGGACATTTTGAACTCTTATTATGGTGGTAATTTGACAAAATTACAATCATGGTCTTGAATTGGACTCGCATTTTTCCGGTCTCGTTCTTGAATCGGTCTCGCTTTAGGTGGTCTCGAACACAACACTGTGGCTTACCATAGATGACCTGGGTATAGATCCCTGTCTTTAACTGTGTGTGTTGTCCCCCTGCAGCCATTGGACTCCAGACAGGCCCTGGTCAAGAGACAGTCTGTAGTCAACCTGGAGAACTTCAGGAGACAATACACCAGACGCAGATGGAAGGTGAAACAGACGGACCTTACAACGGCAACGGGAGTGTATCGAAAGAACCTTTTGGGGAATTCATTTAAGGACTTCGTTGCTCCCCTAATCATAAGTGTGTGTCTGCCTCAGGCCTAGTTTGGTTTGTATAGATGCAGCCTCTCATCTCTCTGAACTCTCCCCCCCCTACAGCTTTCTTTCAGAGTTGTGGCTCTCTGTAACCATTTAACTCGTATGATGAAGAAAGGTCACCCCAAGATGGCAGCCCAGGATGAGGTAAGTTCAGTAGGAGCTCACGCTGTAGTCCACAGGAGGTTGGTGTCACCTTAATAGGGGAGGATGGGCTCGTGGTAATGGCTGGAGCGGATTGAGTGGAATGGTGTATATAATACGTCAAACAACATGGTTTGATGCCATTCCATTTGCTCCGTTCCAGCCATTATGATGAGCCGTCCTCCCCTCAGCAGCCTCCACTGCTGTAGACTACATTTATCGTGTAGTCATCCATCAGACGCTCTTATCCAGAGTTAGCTAAGGTCTGTGGGCTAACTAGATCAGTTCTACATTAGCTATCACTGGTACCAGCAGGTCTGTGGGCTAACTAGATCAGTTCTACAATAGCTATCACTGGTACCAGCAGGTCTGTGGGCTAACTAGATCAGTTCTACATTAGCTATCACTGGTACCAGCAGGTCTGTGGGCTAACTAGATCAGTTCTATATTAGCTATCACTGGTACCAGCAGGTCTGTGGGCTAACTAGATCAGTTCGACATTAGCTATCACTGGTACCAGCAGGTCTGTGGGCTAACTAGATCAGTTCGACATTAGCTATCACTGGTACCAGCAGGTATGTGGGCTAACTAGATCAGTTCGACATTAGCTATCACTGGTACCAGCAGGTCTGTGGGCTAACTAGATCAGTTCTACATTAGCTATCACTGGTACCAGCAGGTCTGTGGGCTAACTAGATCAGTTCTACATTAGCTATCACTGGTACCAGCAGGTCTGTGGGCTAACTAGATCAGTTCTACATTAGCTATCACGGTACCAGCAGGTCTGTGGGCTAACTAGATCAGTTCGACATTAGCTATCACTGGTACCAGCAGGTCTGTGGCTAACTAGATCAGTTTCTCATTAGCTAACACTGGTACCAGCAGGTATGTGGGCTAACTAGATCAGTTTCGACATTAGCTATCACTGGTACCAGCAGGTCTGTGGGCTAACTAGATCAGTTCTACATTAGCTATCACTGGTACCAGCAGGTCTGTGGGCTAACTAGATCAGTTCGACATTAGCTATCACTGGTACCAGCAGGTCTGTGGGCTAACTAGATCAGTTCTACATTAGCTAACACTGGTACCAGCAGGTCTGTGGGCTAACTAGATCAGTTCGACATTAGCTATCACTGGTACCAGCAGGTCTGTGGGCTAACTAGATCAGTTCTACATTAGCTAACACTGGTACCAGCAGGTCTGTGGGCTAACTAGATCAGTTCGACATTAGCTATCACTGGTACCAGCAAGGGTCTGTGGGCTAACTAGATCAGTTCTACATTAGCTAAAAACTGGTACCAGCAGGTCTGTGGGCTAACTAGATCAGTTCTACATTAGCTAACACTGGTACCAGCAGGTCTGTGGGCTAAACTAGATCAGTTTGACCATTAGCTATCACTGGTACCAGCTGGTCTGTGGGCTACTCGATCAGTTCGACATTAGCTATCACTGGTACCACAGGTCTGTGGGCTACTAGATCATTCTACATTAGCTATCACCGGTTACCAGCAGGTTGGGACTATCAGTTCTTCTTAGCTATCATGGACACAGTTTGGTCTAGTCAGTTCGATTAGCTATCACTGGTACAGCAGTCTTGGGAACTAACAGTTCACATTAGCTCATCACTGGTACCAGCAGGTCTGTGGGCTAACTAGATCAGTTCACCATTAGCTATCACTGGTAACCAGCAGGTCTGTGGGCTAATGATCGTTCTCACCTTAGCTATCACTGGTACCGCAGGTCTTTTGGGCTAACTAGATCAGTTCGACATTAGCTATCACTGGTACCAGCAGGTCTGTGGGCTAACTAGAATCAGTTCTAAATTAGCTATCACTGGTACCAGCAGGTCTGTGGGCTAAACTAATCAGTTCTACATTAGCTACACTGGTACCAGCAGGTATGTGGGCTAACTAGATCAGTTCGACATTAGCTATCACTGGTACCAGCAGGTCTGTGGGCTAACTAGATCAGTTCTACATTAGCTATCACTGGTACCAGCAGGTCTGTGGGCTAACTAGATCAGTTCGACATTAGCTATCACTGGTACCAGCAGGTCTGTGGGCTAACTAGATCAGTTTACATTAGCTAACACTGGTACCAGCAGGTTCCTGTGGGCTAACTAGATCAGTTCGACATTAGCTATCACTGGTACCAGCAGGTCTGTGGGCTAACTAGATCAGTCTACATTGCTAAACACTGGTACCAGCAGGTCTGTGGGCTAACTAGATCAGTTCGACATTAGCTATCACTTGTACCAGCAGGTCTGTGGGCTAACTAGATCAGTTCTACACAGCTCTGTGGTGTCTACAGTAGTAGTCTAACTAGATTAGTTCTATAGTAGGTCATGGGACTGGCAGCATGATTATATTTCAGTGTTCAGTTCAGGACAGTGTTCAGTTCAGTCCAGTGTTCAGTTCAGGACAGTGTTCAGTCCAGTGTTCAGTTCAGTGTTGTTATCAGTATACAGTAGGCAACAGTACAGTCCCTGTGAAAGACGTTAGAAATATGCCATCTGGGGACTATCATGGTGAAGACCTGTTATTCTGTTAGTTCTCAAAGTAAAATAAGTAACACTTGACTCATTTCATGGTCTCACACTGTATATTCAGTATTTTTGGGAACAGAGGTGTGACTGTGTGATCTCCCTGTGACAGACAGAGTGACAGCATTCTCTGTGACGGTGTGATCTCCCTGTGACAGACAGAGTGACAGCATTCTCTGTGACGGTGTGATCTCCCTGTGACAGACAGAGTGACAGCATTCTCTGTGACTGTGTGATCTCCCTGTGACAGACAGAGTAACAGCATTCTCTGTGACTGTGTGATCTCCCTGTGACAGACAGAGTAACAGCATTCTCTGAATGCAAAAGGAAGAATTTGCTGCAGCTTGGGGCATGTTGTTGAGTGGTAAGGGTGATGCACAACAGTTGTTTCTGGCTCGGGTTAAGGTTTGCGGCTCGGGTTAAGGTTTGCGGCTCGGGTTAAGGTTTGCAGCTCGGGTTAAGGTTTGCAACTCAGATTAAGGTCTGTTGTTTCTTCATACTTCCAGAGGGACTGTGAGAGCGACCAGGAGACGGAGATGATCATGAAGAAAAGACCCAGAACCAGGAAGAGAAGCAGCACTTCCTGAAACCTGCCTGTCTTTTCTGATTTGTTGAATGTGTGTCTGTAGCACACACGATTGGTCCAAAAGCAGCCACAGAGACTACTTCAAAAACTGCTGTCCATATAATGTATTTTACATATTGCACAGCATTCTAAAACCGCCTTTTCTGGAGCAATAGATGAAAAGCCTTGATTGTGTTTCCTATGAAGTGATTTCAGTGCCAACAGAAATGTTATTTGAATCCCTGCCTTCTGTAAAGGTATCTAGACTGTAGAAATGTACATGTACAGTTGACAGATTAGGGTACGGGTTAGGGTACAGATTAGGGTACAGGTTAGGGTTAGGGTACAGATTAGGGTACAGGTTAGGGTTAGGGTACAGGTTAGGGTACAGGTTAGGGTACAGATTAGGGTTAGGGTACAGATTAGGGTACAGGTTAGGGTTAGGGTACAGATTAGGGTACAGGTTAGGGTTAGGGTACAGATTAGGGTACAGGTTAGGGTAGAGGTTAGGGTTAGGGTACAGGGTAGGGTAGAGGTTGGGGTACAGGTTGGGGTTAGGGTAGAGGTTAGGGTAGAGGTTAGGGTTAGGGTACAGGTTAGGGTAGAGGTTGGGGTACAGGTTAGGGTTAGGGTTACAGTTGACAGGTTAGGGTACAGTTTAGAGTAAAGATTAGGGTTAAAGTTGACAGGTTAGGGTACAGGTTGGGGTTAGGGTAGGGGTTAGGGTACAGGTTAGGGTTAGGGTACAGGTTGGGGTTAGGTTAGGGTACAGGTTAGGGTTAGGGTAGAGGTTAGGGTACAGGTTAAGGTTAGGGTTAGGGTACAGGTTGGGGTTAGGGTAGAGGTTAGGGTACAGGTTAGGGTAGAGGTTAGGGTACAGGTTAGGGTTAGGGTACAGGTTGGGGTTAGGGTTAGGGTACAGATTAGGGTTAGGGTAGAGGTTAGGGTAGAGGTTAGGGTACAGGTTAGGGTAGAGGTTAGGGTTAGGGTAGAGGTTAGGGTTAGGGTACAGGTTGGGGTTAGGGTAGAGGTTAGGGTTAGGGTAGAGGTTAGGGTTAGGGTACAGGTTGGGGTTAGGGTAGAGGTTAGGGTTAGGGTAGAGGTTAGGGTTAGGGTACAGGTTGGGGTTAGGGTAGAGGTTAGGGTACAGGTTAGGGTACAGTGGAAAGGAAAGGGGACTGCTCACAGAGAATATAATGCTGTTATCCAATTGTCTTACATAACCAACTTCCTCATTCTGCTGTTGTCCTCGTCAGTGACTAAATGCCTCTACAGGTTTCATATCACACTGAGTGGACAAAACATTATGAACACCTTCCTAATGTTGAGTTACACCCCCTAATTCACCCTCTGAATGGCACACATACACAATTCATGTCTCAATCGTCTCAAGGCTTAAAAATCCTTCTTTAACCTGTCTTCTCCCCTTCATCTACACTGATTGAAGTGGATTTAACAAGTGACATCAATAAGGGATCGTAGCTTTCACCACGTGGTGGTGGTGCTGGTGGTTTCTCTGTTAGTTCCTCTATCAGTCAGTTAACTGTCACCTCACAGGTCAGATCCATAAGGACGGATATAGGTTGACATCTCAAACCCACTGGTCCATGTTGCTGATCATTCTACTATTACTGCTTGTGTTCCAATGCCCATGTACTGTACATTCACCCTAACCCCTAACCCTAACCCTATTACTGCTTGTGTTCCAATGCCCATGTACTGTACATTCAAGTTTGGTTCATCTAAAAAACAGAGTTA